TTCCATATAATAGACTTCTCAAAGATGATGGAGATCCATATACCAATCCTGGTGCATATCGAAGCATAGTAGGAGCCTTATAGTATCTTACTTTCACTAGGCTTGACATTGCATTTCCAGTGCATCAGGTATGCTAATTCATGCAGAATCCTATGGTGGCTCATTACACTGCTGTAAGAAGGATTCTCAGGTACTTAAAAGGAACTCTAAATGTTGGTGTTACTTATACTAAAAGAGACTTACAACTCAAGGCTTATAGTGATGCTGATTAGGCAGGGGATCCCAATGACAGGAGATCCACTACTGGAATGGTTGTGTTTTTAGGTAATAATCCCATTTCCTGGTCATAAAAGAAACAACAAACTGTGTCTAGATCGTTTACTGAAGCACAATATAGAGCCCTATCTACCACTTATGCATAATTGGATTGGATTAAGCAACTTCTTGCCTTTCTGCACATTCCCTTGCCTGTAATTCCAGTTCTGTTATGTGACAACTTATCTTTTATTGCACTATCATTTAATCCAATTCAACATCAAAAGACCAAGCACATTGAGATATATGTGCATTTTGTTCGAGAAAGGGTAGCCAAGAAACAATTGTCAGTGCAATTTGTTTCCTAAAAAAAAACAGTTTGCTGATATATTGACCAAAGGCTTAAGTGGTCATTTGTTTCGAACCCATTGTATCAATCTCATGCTTTATTTCTCAAAAGCATGATCTTGCGGGGGGATGTTAGAGTATGTTAGAGAATGTGTTCAACGGTGTATGATTGTGACACTTGTCACAATCTTAGTGTGTTAGTTAGTTAGACTAATAGCTTTGTAACTACCTATATAAGGTAGATTGTTGTATTACTTACATATTAAGAAATCATACAGACAAAAAATTATCTTCCATCTCTTTCTTCTCTCTACTTTCTCCCTCTCTAGTTCTTGCTTCTAATACAAAGATTACAGGGTTCATAATCTTTAATTCATGAAGATAAACAATTTTAATATGCAACCGTTTATATATATTATTTGTATATATCTTATTACGAGATCTATCATAGTGGGGGAAACACAAATCGGATATTTCCAAGTTACACACAAGAATTCCTCTGATATTTGAGAAGCAAGATCTCTCATAATTCAGAGTATTTAGTAAGTGATTGTAAGTAATCTCACTATGTATGATGGTTTCCTTTGGTTCTCTTTGCAGAGCCAATGATTATTCATTAAGAAACAAGAAACAAAGAGCAAAGAAAGCCTAAAAAAATTTCACAAGTGGGGGGCAGTTGTGACAATCTTCCACAGTCTGGACCATTTATCCAATTAAGAATTTTCAGATATAAATGGTGGCAAATTAGAAAGGAAGAAAAAGAAAACCGAAGAGAAAAACAAAGTCGTTTCCCACATGTCTGTCAGAATGTCACCTCTCTCTCTCTTTCTCTCTCTCTCTCTCTCTCTCTCACTCTCTGATCATGAAGTGCCCATGTTGGCAGCGGTTCTTGTGCCAACACTTCATAGATCTACACAGTTAGATTCTTCGTATCAGTCCATTGAACTTTGATAGATCTACGTACAACGACAAGAAAGGCACCATCTTGATAGAATTTTTATCCGATTTATGAAGTTGATGAAGCTGCATGTCAGGTGGTCAGCTACATTAAGGCTGTCATATGTCATCATGTATTACAAGAATTAACTCAGAATCAGATATTATTGCACGCCTTTCCAACAATTAAACGAGATATATACAGGTATACGATTTTTTTTTTTATATAAAGATACATTTACACAAAGGGTATGAGGCAATAATTAGTTACAAATTAACTCGTTATACTCGAGATTCAAATCTAAGATTTTTCTGTCATATGAGATTTTTTAATGTGTCGAGAATACAGCTTAATACATCAAGTGTCATAATACAAGTGGTTGAATACTTGGAAAAAAATTCTGACCACTTGTATTATGACACTTGGTGTACCGGACTATCTTGGCACTGAAAATTTTATCCTCATTTATAAGTGAAGAGGATACTATGAAACCGTAGTACTAAATGGCTTCAGAAATAGGACTTGTTTTCACATTGCAAATATGATGTCATTTAGGGCAAGATGTATGTCCTTTTGGCTTGTAGTATGCGGCCCTTTCATAAGATTTTGGTTATGTTTGTAACGTCTTCACATGTTGTTATTAATTTACATGTTATAATATATGAATATGGGACGAATTTATGATTTAAGACATATTTAGTATAATAAATAAAATAGAAAATTTATTCTATACTTATTTTTTCTTCATGCACGCTCATGTTTATTTCTAATCATTAAATTGAATAAATCAAATATAAAAATCAAGATATATAAATAAACAGAAATATAAAAAAGAACAAAAGAACTTGCATAAATCATTTCTCATAAATATACATATTATAACACAAGTGATTTGATGCACCGCGTGACATCGATCACCTTCAAAACTTTATTTATTTAGACTACAGTAATTATATTCTGACTATCCAATCACCAGACAAAGTTGCATCAATTTTGTGTGAACACATAGCTAATCAATTAATGGAATGCCACATGTGGGTCCAACCACATGTATGATAAAAATGGTTTCTTTAATTTTCCCGTCGTTGAACAATGTTACGTAGAAATTCCTCTTAAATTAATGGAAACGGTGAGAAAAAGGCACTTGCATGAAAACAGTATTATTTTGGTCAGCCAGTTTTCACTTATTCTCCAGTCAATGGTCCATTCCCAAATCCATAAATAAAGTTTTGAAACGAGACATCGATCTCCAAATAATCATAAGAAACAATCTGATTAATCACCGGGCATGCATGAAATCATATTAAAGGAAAGGGGATCCCTTATCAAATTCACCTAATCATTTAATCTGGGTTCTTGAAATTTAATCCAACGGTTAAAATTATTATAACTTTTAAATAGGCTCTCTATTTGTAACCGTTGGATCAACTGATTGAGTGAATTTGGTGGAATGAATCCGAAGAGGATCCCTTTCCCATATTAAACCCCCACTAATAATTAAAATAGTATAACCAGACATGATTCTCCTTTCTGGTTTAATTAAAAATAAGACCCATTAGCTATTTTTAATTGCAGTGAGACTAGCTTAATTAGCTAGGTCCGTTGCATGTCTCTATTGTGTTGGAATATAGTAGATAAATTAAATTAAATTAAATTAATTGAAAGATTCTTTTCTAAAGATTAAAAAGAAATTAAAATTGTGAACTCCCATGCCATGCATACGTGAAGACAATAGAGCAAATGCTTTTAAACTAACGAAAAGTCTAAAAAAACTTTAGTTTTAATGAAAAATGACAAATAAAGGTGTAGGGAATAGTACCATGAAAAAGTTAAAATGTGATTTTTTTGTTAAAAATGAACAGTACCGAGAGTGTTTCGTTAAAATTCCCTTTACTTTTCCTAGTGTTGAAAATCGGACTGGACGATCGTCCCATTAGATTAATTCAGAAACTGATGACTGCATGTTTTGTTTTATTCGATTAAATACATTTTAATCGATTGATTAGCTAACTTGATACAAATTCTGTTTGGTTAAACAGTCAAATTAACCAATTCCTTGAGATGATATTCCTCTTTGTCACACAACAGTCCAACTTTCCATCTGCACGCCTTGGAAAGTAAACTACTTCGGATGGTAGGGAAAATGAAATTTATGTTTGTAAATTAAAATTACATCATATCTGTTTAAACAATTAGCTTTTTTGCCAATTGGAGCCTGCTGTAAGCATTATTTTGTATCATGAAATTGTGACAAATGTGACTTTTAACCTCTACTAGAAGACAACAGCAGTGGCTTTTAGCTATAGGGTAATATAATTAGTCAACAGAGTTAGTAATGAGACTAGCTTCTTCCACTAACAGATATTTCTTATAAGGGCAAGTGCAATTAGTCAAATAGGTAGGTGATAATTAATTAACCCCCTTTCCCTTGATATCAGCATCCATGAAGTTATGTTTCATTATCTTCTGTTCAAGTAATGCCAATTTGTTTTGACTAGATGATACCCCAAAGGCGATTCATTTCTCTTTACTAATGCAAAGACATACATCATACCAGTGATATATTCTTTCATGTTCTTAGTTTTATAGTAATATATACGTAGAATTTGAAGTCATTTTTTCAACTTCTAGAATATTCATTCATTTTGGTTAAAAGTATATTTAGTTTGTCTGCAGATGTGCATGCATATATGTATGATATATTAATGTTTAATTTCAAATTAAGGTACTAAGGGATTTTGTTGTGTTGTAAGGAATTAGGCTACTTCCTCATATTGTCAATTAGATTTACACTAGAACTTTAATTTTTTTCATGTTAATTAGGGTATATTGATCCATGTATTGAGTCGACGACAGTTCACTTGTTCACATGTCTCCTCATATATGTTATTCTCATGTTAGACTTAAACTGACTCACACAAAATATGACATGTTGATAGTATAGATTCCATATTAATTAAAAACTTTGCATAAGCTTATTCAGAGATGGGTTACTCTTTGTATTGCCTCTCAACTTTCTTCGATTAACCAGTGTGAAATCAATTTGCACAATTGGAAATTAGGTTGCAGGAAGGAGTATTGACCGATGCCTGCCATTTGTTTTAGCTTTGATTAATTAGGCGCATGAAGTCCCACCAAAATTGACCAATATTCAATCCCAAGAATTCTCACTCACCATGAATGTGGCCCCCACAAAATTCCAGTGTTTATATGGACCAACCTTACCAACTCAATAACAGTGAAAGGAAATCGAAAAACCTAGGGAAGAACGACACAGGAAAACAGGTGCTTGTTGATATTGGGAAAAAGTCCAATTTTAGGTGGGAAAGAAAATGGAGAGTGATGACATATAGAGGCCCCACTCTTTCATAAACAATCAATAATTAGTTGATTACATTAACCTAGATGAAACTTGCTGAACAAAACAAAAATTTGATTCATTTATAAACCGATAGATTAGAAAGGTCTCTCCTCCGGGTCAAGTACAAGACAATTAAGATAACCACGAGAATTTTGTGTGTATGAGAGAACTAGAGAGAGAAAGACACACACACACACAAACACACAGCTCGGAGAGAGAGGGATATTAAAAGGACACAAGTGTGAAAACTGGAAAAAGGAGATCGAGAGGCAAAAAAGAAAAGGGTAGAAGAGGGCTCACATGATTTCCAACAATATTCCACGGAAGTTGCAGCACATGCATGATCTGTATCCATAATGTGAGTATTAGGTATTAACTTTCTTATGCCATGAAAGTCTTGGAATATCTACGTTTGGATGACTTTAATTCCATGGTTTGGATTCTTTGGAACCAAACAAAAACTTCTCAGAAGCAACTAAGAAACACTTTTGCATCTCTTTCGATCCCCTCCCTCACGGCATATAGGTATCGGTTATAGGAAAATGTTTGAGTACTTGGAAGAAGGATTGAGGTAAGTAATACTCTCACCATCAATATGGTGTTCATATTTTGGGGGAAAGAAAGTGATTTACAAAGTACTCCTTACTTAACCTAGTATACTTGATTGCTTTCTCCTTTAAATTCTCTTCGATTCCAAATTTTTCAAAGTACTGATATATTGATAGGTATAGTCACTCAAGAAGACATTAATTGATTGCGATTCGTGATTCATTTGTCTCTATTATTCTCTTATTTTTCTTCTTTCGATCATAGTCTCTCGATCCCTAGTTTATGAGGATGATAAACAGCATGTTTTCTTTGAGAACTAACCTTTAATTAATTGCACAAGTTGATTGTCATCAGCTTATTTTCACTGGATAGATATATACTATACCTCCATAGGATCATTATTTGCAAGAAACATTCTTTTCCGGTAAAATATGATTTTCGATCTACTGCTAGCATTTAAGATCTCTCTCTGTCTCTATCACCCAAGGATTAATCATAATAAAACCCCATTTTTTGTATGGATATTATGAAATGGGGGATTCATTAAATATTAGAACATAATTAAGAGGTAAAGCTTTAATTTCTTTCTTGTCTGTTATTTGATTCCAGATGGGCAGATAATAGCTGAACTCATGTCAACATGTTGATGATTACTAATAACTTCCATCTTTATTTTCTTAATCATGTCCACCACTCAGGGTACGTTGCTGTTTAGGTTATGCTTGAAAAACGTTATTTTCTCTATTCCCATCTTACCAAATAAGTTTGCAAGATGGCAACATATGGTATAACCAGAAGAGTTGGGAATATATCAGTAGTTGTATCTCACTGTGGCAGTAAAAAATACTGCTAAACTACCAATTAACAATAGTTTCCCTTTTCTTTTCTTGTGAAATCCACTGTAATTTAACTCCTGGTTGGTGGTGTTAATTTTCAGCAACTCACGGACCTAGCTGATAAAGGGGAAACTAATCATTCTAGGGAACTAAGCAGCTAGATAGCAATAATGGATGAGCTAGAATTTGGTAATCAGGAAGCTGAGAAGAGTAACGAGATCAGCGAGGAACAAGTAGAAAACGGATCAGTGGGATCATCCCAGAAATGCTCATCCTTCGATTTGAATGAAGAAGCAAGTAGTGACAATGAAGAAAGAGGCCAAGGGAATAATGCTGCATATAATGATAGTGAAGGAAATGAAAGGCGGAGGGTTAAAGTTAGGCAATATGTGAGATCAAAAATGCCTCGTCTACGGTGGACTCCTCAACTCCATCTTTCTTTTGTGCATGCTGTTGAACGACTGGGTGGCCAAGATAGTAAGTTTCTAGCTAGATACATACATACATGCATACATATATATATATATATGTACATCCTTTTACATATAGATGAACAGTACTTTCTTGCCCTAAATATGCGCTCTTGATCAATAGTATTTAAGGTTTATAAGTAGATAGATTTTCATCGAGAGGAGGGATTTGAACTTGAAATTGTTTTTAAAACTTAAAAATAAATACCATGTACTATATGGGAACATTAAGATCAAGTTACAGTATTGTTATTACTTGTTTTAATTACGTCCTCTTTACATTATAATAATGTTTCTGTTCTTTTCTTACCAATGCAGGAGCAACTCCCAAGTTAATTCTTCAGCTAATGAATGTGAGAGGACTTAGCATTTCTCATGTAAAGAGTCACTTGCAGGTTCGGAAATAATTATTTTGTCAAAATAATCGTATCCTTATAATTAAATCAGATTCTGAAAGAATTAATTTTCTCTTTTTTTCCAATCTAATTCCTCCCAATCATGCATTTTCCAATTGTCAGATGTATAGAAGTAAGAAGCTTGACGGGAATGGCCAAGGTAAAGTTTGATCTGATATCATCTTTGAGCTGTTTGGTATAACATTAGCTAGATTATGTTATTTAACAACTTTTATGTAATAATATCTTAAATAACTGTCCAAATTATCGAACAAAAACTTCAGGAAATTGTCCTTTATACCAAGTCATTATGTTCATATGTGATAAGTATTGTTCACGGAAAGGAAAGTGAAACAAATTATTCATCCATGCAAATCCTATTTTTTATGCAGTATTATCTGAAAAACACGAATCCAAGCGTGGAAGGGATAACATATCTTGCAAGGTGCACCAAACAATCAACCAGCCTTGTCGACATGTATATTTTGGAATGGACAACGGTAGCATTGTTGTAACAACAAGTCCACACGACTGTCAGAGCCAACCACAGCCAGATTTTAAAGCTGTCTCAAGGTATATATACACTACACACCAACACTACAAGAAATCAACATCAATTGTCACTGACATTGTTGGCACAAAATGAGGTAGCTAAAGCCGTACGTTAGCTACTTATAATAAACATGCCCGGTAACGATCATTAGGCATTGATAGTGACTTTAGCCACCTCATGTCGTAGTGATGTATGTATTCTTGTAGTGTAACTATTCTTTTCTTTGATCTAGCCATAGGCACTAACATCACGCTTCTATTGTTGTTATAATTAGGTCAAGTTCTTTACTAAACGAAGAACTTGTACAAGGCAACAACTCCAACAAATCTATGGATACAATCTTGCGAACTGTACCAATAAACCCTAGCCGGCTTCTGGAGGACAAGAGGTGGCCTCCATCTGAAACGATTAACCAACAACAATGGAGGGCTAAAAGAATACCTGCTGCCAAAATCAGTTGGTCAGATGATTGTAATGGCTCCCAATCTGACCATCTAATGCATCATATGCACACCACACCGAGGTTGATAAGGGAATCCCACAATATAAGGCCACCAAACTGGAACCTTGGAGAGAGCAGAAACATAAGGCAGTTTCCATCAAACTCCCACAATTCTATCACCAATTCCAGTTGCTACAAAACTGAATTCGAGCCGCCATTTGGGTTTGAGGTATGCTTTACAGCCTGCAGATTAGTCTATTGACATATACTTTTTAATTTTTTTTTCCATACAAGTTATTTCTTATTCATCTTAATTACTACCTGAATTTCGTTACAGTTAAATGAAGAAAAAAGCTCGAAGTACAAAGGGTGGATGCCACAACTGGAGTTGTGTCTGAGTCAAAGTGTTGAGAATTATGAGGAAACGAAGATTATTTCCAGACATCGTATGGTTGGTGAAGAACTTTATGGAACTGGGCAAAGAGTTAAACAGGAAATTAGCACTAAACTTTCTCTTTCTCTTTAATCCTTGTAGTCGACCTAGTCTGGTCGACCCCACATATATAGTGAGGTGCAAATAGTGAATATAGAGGTATTCAAAACAAATTTCCAGTCTATACAAATTTATGTCATGTAGCCAGCCAGGCTTCATTGTCATTGAGGACGCTAAAGTTCTCAACGTATGCCTGAGTATGTGATGAAATTAAAACGTTACGAACGTTTGTTCATAAAAAAAAAAACGTTACGAGAAAGAAATCTTGTGAAATACTTGTTGATCTAAAAGCATTAGAAGCTTAGGGTTTTCCTTTCTCTTTTTTTGGTGGTGTTTTCGGTTTTCACTCCTTCAACCCTCAATGGTATTATGGTAACAAGGTTTTTCATGCATGAAAGAAAGGGTCAAAAATTTACGAGCCCCACGAATTTAATTTACTTCTTTTCATTCTAAAGAGTACTAGGCACCCCACCTCCAGTAAGTGGCTAGCAAATCACAAAAACTTCCAAGTTTAATTAACAAAAAAAGAAAAGAAAAAGTATTGTGCATGTTGGCTACATATGATAGGGTCCCCTACACACAGAGTTCTTATTCTTCTCATAGTTTAAATTAGTTTAGATAAACCAAGTCTGATTCCAATTGTTGCAGAACAATCACATTCCAATATGGACACGCCTAATACTGAAGATTAATCCAAGTCCAAGTTCTACTCCTAGTTCTAGTCTAGTTCTAATTTTATATTATGTTTTCTGTATTCCTCTTTCATACGGATTGCTTTCATGGTATCAAGCGTCAGTGTCTAACGACAAGGGTTCAAATTAAATTTTTTTTTTCTTTCTACAGCTATGACGTCTTCTTCCTCTGCTGCCGCTCCTTCTGTCACGAACTTTCTCACAATCAAGCTTAACTACAACAACTACCCCTATGGTGTGCCCAGTTTCTTCCATTGATGCGCAACTGCAATTTGTTGTCCTATGTTACTGGCAAATCCCTGCCCTATTGCGTTTCTTCTTGATGCCAATGGTAAAATCATCGACAAAGTCAATCCATTGTATGGTGAATGGATATAAACTGATCATATGATTCTCTCCTGGATTACTAGTTCTCTTATTCCCAAGGTTCTTGCTACAATCGTCAACAAAATTGATTCGGCCTCTGCTTGGTCGTCTCTTCAAGAATGATATGCTTCTACATCTCAGAATCGTATTATTCAAATGCGTACTAAATCAATGAATACATCTCGTGGTGATCTCTCTATTGTTGATTATCTCGACCAAGTTAATGTGATTGTTGACAATCTTGCTGTCTCTAGGGCCCCCTTTTTTGAATCTGATTTAGTTGCCATTATTATGAGCAAGGTAGGTCCTCAGTATGAGACCACCATTGCTTCCGCACAAGCCCGTGATACTCTCATCACCTAAAATGCCCTGGAAGCTTTACTCTTGAGTGCAGAACAACGTCACAACGCTTTCTTTCTTCCCTTTCATGTCGGCACGTTTGCTTTTGCTGTTGTGCATGGTGGTCGTGGTGCTTCCCGCGGCCGTGGTGGTTCGTTTCATGTGTTGGTATATGGTCCAGCCCATGATCAATGTTCTAGATTATTCTAGTAAGCAAGAGATGAGGCTGGAGCTTGCTAGACAATTCTAGCATGTTATTAAGTTGATGGAAGAAGCTAGAGAGTACTAGCTTCCTTGGTTGCAAATGGAAAGATCTAGAAGCTACAAGTATGTGGCTAGTCTAGATTTTTCTATACTAGAGGTTTGAAGAAGGAACTAGAAACTAGTAGAATGTCAAGCCCTCACCTATAAATATGGGTGTGATGTAACCAATAGAGAACTAAGAGAGTGAGTAGCAAAGGATCAAGTCCAAAGCTAGAGTTCCACTCCAAGAGTGAGAGTGAGAGTGTTCCACTACACATTGTGTGAGTGAAGTTTAGAGTGATAGAAAGTGTGTGTTATACTTTCTTGTATCCATCAAGCCTTGTCTTTGGCTTGGTAAGACTACTCTTGTTGTATTCATCTTTTTCATATAGTGAAGATTCCTTGTTTGGTGGACGTAGGCATAAATTGCCGAACCACATAAATTCTTGGCGTCCATTTTCTACTTTACCTTGTGCATTCTCTATCTTGTAGTACCGACATTCCTAACAAGTGGTATCAGAGCCCGGTTGGCTCGTACTACGAGATGGAAGGAAGTGGCACTATGATCAAACTCACCAACTCCAATTGGGTAATATGGAAGCCAATGATGGAGGACATTCTCTATTGCAAGGATTTGCATGAGCCAATTGAAGGAGATGCCGCTAAGCCCGAGAGCATGTCCGATGCCGAGTGGAAGAAGATGAATCGCAAGGCTATTGGCACAATTAGACAATGGGTGGATGATAGTGTTTTTCACCATGTGTCTAATGAAACCAATGCTCGCGAGTTTTGGACGAAGCTTGAGTCCTTGTTCGAGAAGAAGACCCCAGCCAAGAAAGCCTTCTTGATCAAAGAGCTCATCAATGTGAAGTACAAGGATGGTTTAAGTGTAGCAGAACACTTGAACAATTTCCAGAATATCATCAACCAGTTGGCTACTATGAAAATGACGATCGAGGACGAGCTACAAGCGCTCTTGTTACTTGGATCCTTGCCAGACAGTTGGGAGACCTTTGTGGTGAGTATAAGTAACTCTGCTTCTAATGGTGTTCTTACTCTTGATAATGTTAAAAATAGCATGCTCAATGAAGAAACAAGGAGAAAGACTTCTGGCACAGATAGCAGCCAAGTATTTGTCACAGAGAACCGCGGAAGAAGCAAAAGTAGAGGGCCTAGAGGTCATGGCAGGAGTCCTAGCCGATCCAAGTCAAAGTTCAAGGGTGCATGCCACCACTGTGGCAAAGAAGGCCATATGAAGAAAAATTGTCGAGTTTGGAAGAGAGAGCAAAGGGAAGGAAACAATCAGAAGAAAGATGATACTGGCAATACCACTGCTGTCATATGTGGTGATGTACCAGAAATATTGTCTGTTGGTGAATGTCTGCATATGGGCAACTCTGACAGAGACATTGAATGGATCTTTGACAATGGAGCTTCCTTCCATGCTACGTCCAAACGGGAGTTCTTCAGTACATACAAAGAAGGTGACTTTGGCATAGTGAAGATGGGGAATGAAAGCTATTCCAAAATTCTTGGAATTGGTGATATATGTCTAAGAACTAATCTCGGCTGCCAATTGATGTTGAAAGATGTGAGACATATTCCTGATATACGTCTCAATCTGATATCCATCGTCACCCTTGATCGACAAGGATATTATCACCATATTGGCGAAGGAAAATTGAAGCTTACTAAAGGCTTAATGGTGGTAGCAAGAGCACGACTTTGTTGTACGTTGTACCGGTCAAATGCCAAGGTTTTGAAAGGTGAGTTGAATGTTGTGGAGGACTCATCTCTAGACTTATGGCATAAGAGGCTAGGCCACATAAGCGAGAAAGGCCTACAAGTTTTGGCAAAGAAGTCTCACATTCCCTTTACCGAAGGTACGTCGTTAAACTCTTGTGAGCATTGTTTATTCGGAAAACAAAGAAGAGTTAGTTTTTCTGTTCCATCTACAAAGAAAGGAAACTTGTTAGATCTTGTTTATTCAGATGTGTGTGGTCCCATGGAAGTCGAGTCACTTGGAAGAAATAAATATTTTGTTACTTATATTGATGATGCTTCACGAAGGGTGTGGGTGTATTTGTTGAAATCCAAAGACCAGGTGTTTCAGACATTCCAGGAGTTCCATGCCATGGTGGAGAGGGAAACTGGGAAACCTCTCAAGTGCCTTCGTAGCGACAACGGCGGCGAGTACACATCTCACCAGTTTAGAGAGTATTGTGTAAAACATGGCATACGTCATGAGAAGACAGTTCCTGGAACTCCACAACATAACGGTGTTGCTGAAAGAATGAACCGAACCATCATGGAGAAAGTCAGGTGTATGTTGAGGACTGCAAAGTTATCTAAGCAGTTCTGGGGTGAAGCTGTAAGGACAGCCTGCTATTTGATCAACCGATCTCCATCAGTACCATTAGGTCTTGATGTTCCAGAGAGAGTATGGACTGGTAATGATGTGTCTTACTCTCATCTGAAGGTGTTTGGTTGCAAAGCTTTTGTGCATGTGCCCAAAGAGCAGAGATCGAAGTTAGACTACAAAGCTACACCGTGCATCTTTCTTGGTTATGGCGGTGAAGATTTTGGTTACAGATTATGGGACCCATACCAGAAGAAGTTTATCCGAAGTAGAGACGTGGTCTTTTATGAAGAACAAACAATTGGGGATTCGGATAAAGAGGCACAACCAGATGGCGCAGTCAGAGGAGTTGATCCATTAGCTTCAGATGAAGAAAGTCACGATGACATCCCTGAAGCAACTGCCAATGAAGTGCCTGCAGAATCAGATAATGCTAATTAAGAGGAGCCTGATCAAGATGTGCCAAACCATGAGATTGCTGATCAGGGGGAGCCTAGTCAAGAAGAGCAGATTCAAGGAGAACCCAATCAGGGGGAGCCTCCAGCCCTACAAGAGAATGAAGATCAGGTCAGAAGATCCATCAGAAGTCGAAGACCGTCTACCAAGTATTCTTCATCAGAGTATATCATGTTGACTAATTATGGAGAGCCCGAAACATATGAGGAGGCCAGAGCTCATAACGACAGTGACAAATGGATGAAGGCAATGGAGTCGGAGATGGATTCCTTATCAAAGAATGATACCTATGAGCTGGTGGAGCTTCCAAAGGGCAGGAAAACATTGAAAAACAAGTGGGTGTTCAAATTGAAAAGAGACGACAACATGACAAGGTACAAGGCTCGTTTGGTTGTCAAAGGTTTTGGTCAAAAGAAAGGAGTTGACTTTGATGAGATTTTCTCATCGGTGGTGAAGATGACTTCCATTCGAGTTATCCTTGGTATGGCAGCAAGCATGGATCTTGAGCTCGAGCAGTTAGATGTTAAAACTGCATTTCTCCACGGCAATTTAGAAGAGGAGATATACATGGAGCAACCCAAAGGCTTTGAAGTCAAAGGTAAAGAAAATTTGGTGTGCAAGCTCAAGAAAAGTTTATATGGTCTTAAGCAGGCTCCGAGACAGTGGAATAAGAAGTTCAACTCATTCATGGTGAGTAATGGGTACAAGAGAACTCATGCTGACTCTTGTGTCTATATCAAACAATTTTCTGGAGGTACATTCATCATCTTATTGCTTTATGTTGATGACATGTTGATTGTCGGACAAGATGCTTCTATGATTAAAAAGCTCAAAGAAGAGTTATCTAAGTCCTTTGACATGAAGGACTTAGGGCCAGCCAAGCAGATTTTGGGCATGGAGATAATTCGTGACAGAAAATCCAAGAAGTTGTGGCTGTCACAAGAAAAGTATGTTGA